TTATCCACACCGTGCTGCTCTCACTGCTCGTCCAACCAAACCGCTTCTGAGGTGTTTCACACTCCGGCCAAAGTGAGCCCCCACATAGTTAAAGCTAGGGCTCCCACTTAGGATTTCATTGGAACACATGTTTACAGTAAAAAATAACAAATAATAAACACTCACATCACCATCCTTCAAAATGTAATAATAAGTGGAGCTTCAGAATGGGGTTTGGATGGATCCGCACACCGACCGTGCTGATTTTAGTTGACAGCGCGTGATGTAAATGCGCGACTCTATAATTTGTACCTCTGCTCCTATATTAGCTTTTTACTAAAAAAGACTAATGAGGTGTAACACGTTGCGACGTCACCTTTATTTGGCGTGACGTGAGAACTTTTTGACATACGGGCTGGTAGCCGAAGTTTTTGGACTGATGCTGGGAACTTATTCAGCGCTCTCGGGCAGTTAGTGGCGCTATTTGTTTAATAAAATAAGAATATGGTTTGCGGTCTCGCTCGTCCCTCTGTCTCTTTCACTCATTCACTCACAGAAACACAACACACACACACACACACACACACACACACACACACACACACACACACACACACACACACACACACACACACACACACACACACACACTCTCACGCGTGCATGGCTGCACAGTTGTGCGACGAATATGCGCATTGTTTGCACGTTGGCACTATATGACAAATTAGCCCGATACAGCATGCGCGTTATTGTGTTTGACGCACAGCAGCTTATTTACACTGCATACTACTTAATTTTAGCCGCTAGTTTAAACGTAAAGCCAAATATTATTTCTATTGTTTTTAATAATACACATTTTTTGTGATTTCAATCAATCAATTTCAATCAACCAAAAAAAAAGGATTTTCTTTCATTTTCATTTTTTCTTCATTACCAAGGTTGTTGAATTTTTTCTGACCATTCCTCCACTTTCCCCTTTTCCTTTCCAATAAATTGTCTTTTATTTCTACTTGGTGAACAACGCTTCCAGCATTCTGCCGATAAATGTAAGAAAATTGTGCCATCTACCCGCTAACCCTGGAACTGTAGCTCCAGTACCTCGGAGACCTCGGTTCACTTCAACACAAAAGGAAAAGCGACCGGCGCTTTTACACACAAGCGCCTCGTCGCGCTCACCAAGCAGCTGCCGTCTGCTATTAGGCTGTAACTTTACAAGTAATGTGTGTTTTAAGCACCTGTCAGCCACCGTGTTTTCCCACCGCGTCTGTCTGTGTGAGCGGAGCCGAAAAAGGGCCACACCTCTGCTCTTGTGGGAAGTCGTGGTTTTTAACGTGATCGGAAGCAGCAGGGGGTTAAAGTAAACGTCCACGATTTATTTGGGAGGCTTGCAATAAAGTGTTATCTCTCTAAATTCATGCTCATTTAATGGGGCCAAAGGCTATAATTTATAACGCTGACCAAAAAAAACACATGATCATGTTGTTGACAACATTCGGTGCCTTTTTGGTCCGTTGTGGGGAATATTAAGGCACTAAAATCGAATTCTCTTATGAAAATCAGTGATCAGTATATAGCCACTTTAAAACGAGGATGTTAAAGCACCGAACGTGTCCCATTTAACAGAACATTTGCTCTTCGAGTAGTTTTCATTATAGCGAGAAAAGAGAAATTGAGAAAAATGCAGAAAGAGGGACCACACCAACAAGGCAAAGTTCAGTTGAAAAAAAAATGAAAGAAAAAAAAAAGAAAAAACACCGACAGACTTTGAGAAGTGGGCAGTGCTTTGTGATGATATAAAAGGGGGAGATAAAGACGACTGCAGATGTAGTGCGATAGTGGGAATATGTCCCATGTTGAACCCCCCCCCCCCCCCCCCATTTTTTGAGAAGGCTATTTCGGCTTTTCTTTTAACCCAAACGCGCTCCCGGGGAGCCCATCGCAACACCAGTAGAGCAGCCGGCATTTTCTCTGATAACTTGACTATTGAATGCCAAAGGATTCCAAACGTAAGTTACCGTTCGGCCACTGAAGACACACGAAGTTAAAACGTGTATTTATAGCCGAAATAGAACGTGAGTTCTCCGGAGTAACGGGCCCGATATTCTCAGGGCTTTAAAGTGTGCGGTTTGATTAGTCTTAATAAACACGATCACACATCCAGATGGGAGGAGGGGTGTGGGGAGACCTACTGACCTTTTAGTGAGCAGAGATTTAGCTTGGAAAAAAGGGCCCATAGCCTACGGAGTTGGGGGGCAGAGGCGAACGGTGAGCCGGGAGGAGGATTAGAAGGGACCTCAAACACTCCTGGATAGCAGACTCCAGCCCCTCAGCCTCCCCAACGCGTTATACATCTACATCTGGTATCGATTTGTTACTTGGGGTACATAGATACTTTATTAAGATCCCCATTAGGCGCACCGCAGTGCTGGTCAGTCTTCCGGGGGTCTTAATTAATGATACAGGCTCGTCACTCTCAAGTTTTCAGAACGACCCTGAATGTGACCACAATTTAGCATTTATGCACACAGTTGAGTTAGAGATGACGATCCAGGGACCTTACAGTGTGTGTGTGTGTGTGTGTGTGTGTGTGTGTGTGTGTGTGTTACTAAGAAATGGCTGATTGAGACATCTTAATTGACGTCAACCGAGCAGGTCTGTTTACTCCTCATCCCCATATATGCACATGAACGTGCACGCTGCATGTCTGCCTGCGCGTGCGCAGCTCGAGCCCCTCGATGATGATGCTTGATGATGATGATGTTTTGCACATTGGACATTAGCTTATATGTAAAATGCCGCATGCATTGCACTAATAAGTAACTGTTAATTACATGTCTGCATTACTTTGCGCATGTATGTCATGCTTCATGCGGTCACTCCTCGCACGGCTCTGCCCGCACGCGCCGCCAAAGGAGACGTCGTCTATTTTCCTTCCTGTAAATTCTTTGCCGCGCTGTGTGTGAGCGCGTGCTTGCGCGTTAGCGTGTACGCGGGTGTGTGTTTCTCCCGACACACCCGTTGTGCAAAGCCCCCTCAAACGGTGGAATTAATTTTTCGTATTTCTGTTGGATGCTGGTAGGACGGGCTGAAGTTAATAAAACGAAACAAAACATGCACACCCGACGCGTTATCTCTCGTTCAGTCTTAATTATCACCATCATCACTGTTATCATCCTCATCTTCATCACCATCATGTTCATTTCCAACACTAAACACGTTGTTCCCATATCCCACAGGTGAGGAAAATATGAATAAAATGAATTCTAACTGTTCCTGTGAAATAAATGAATAGAAATCTAACATCGAGTTTTATCGGGACTTCTTGTTTTCTTATGTTCTTCGTCTCCTTAGCGCACAACATCGGTCATTTAAATGGCCCGCCGGCATGTCGGGAGAACCTAGAGGTAGAACACCGAGCGAGCATCTCCAATAAAAACACGTATCTGCATACAGTTAAAGCTTGAGGATTATTCCGTGTTGTTTATTTGACCTGCTGATGAAGTTTCATTTTATATTTGCTTTGGTCTGTTGCGGATTTGAATATACGTTGCAGGGCATAAAAGCAATAATAAAGTTGCGGGGGGAGGGCAGAAATATCTGACCGCAGCAGCGAGATGGCGCTATTTCTGCACGTTTAACCTACGCTGTGCTCCGTTGCCCCGAATGGCTATTACGAGTTAGTTATCTCTAACGGGGTTTTTCGTTGTTGTTGTTTTTTTTTCTGTGAAACAATGAAAAATGTTGAAACATAAAAGAAATATGCAATGGCAGCTGGGGGTTGGACTAAATGTACTCATAGTCTTAAGTGTCTTAATACATCTGAAGAAGATCTCTTTTATATATTTACTTGTCATAAATAATTGACAAATGTGTTCTGGTAGGAAAAATAACAGCTGAAACGCAACTATGAGAAAGTTTATTTATGTTTTTAAAACAATGTTTTGCACAAAATGCGCCAAGAGCTGAAATCACAAAGCCGTCATCGTTTTTGATTTTTCAATTTAATTTAACCACATGCAATACTTAGTGATAACAGACTGATCCCTCACATGAGGCTCTATCGAATATGTGTATGGACATTATTTATATCGTAACCGAAGAGTTAGGGAGCATTTCTATCTGACCTTTTCCTCCACTGAGACATTCCGGGTTTTTTTCACAGCCTCTTTTACGCTTTAAGACAAAAATCATATTCTGGACTTGCCAGTTTATTATATTCGCATAATTAAGACCTCTTTAAGAGGTTATATTATAGAGAGGATATATTGTTTCTGTTTTCATCTGTGAACCCGCTGTGTCTGTTGGGAAGGATAACACCACCGGCTTGTTAACGACGGATATTCGCTCATAAAACAAAATGTAATATCACAAAGTTGGCATTATAAATTCTGATATAAATTCCCAAACTGCAATAATAATAGTAATGTTATATTACTGATATTTTTTAGGCACTTCTGATGTATTTCTTTTTTTCGTTTTTAATTCACTCTTGGTCATCCGAAGTCTTCAAAATCAGTAAAGACAATAATGATAATATTTGATAATATTTTATTTTTTGACCAGGATTTATTAAATTACGGATGCTAAAATAAATATCCCTCAAGAGATTTCTTCAAACAGTTTTCATAAAACATATTTGATAATAACCTTTTCAGGTCTAATTACTATAGCAACTGTAATACATACCCACACATTTTACGACCGTTTTGGGGTATGTCTAACAATATAAAGTTAAATCAAATTGAATATCATCACGTATTAATCGTCTCAATTTCCTTTAAATTGTTTCTTTTTTTAAAATAGAACTTGTGACAGCCACTTCCTGATGCTCACAAGTTACAGACTCCGTGATCAAGCTCCCCGGAGCCTCTGAACCTCAACAATGTAAACAAGTTGGAAATAATCTTCTTTACTTTTTTACTAGAATGAAAATGCAATCTCCCAAACTGAGATTAAGCAGACGAGTTCTTTCTCTCTCTCCTTCTTCCCCCCCCCCCCCCCCCCCCCCCCCCCCCCCCCCCCCCCCCCGTTCCTTGTCATCGGTGGGGCTGGACTTTGGTGGACAATAATGCAGCAATTGTTGATGCTTTGTGACCCATAAAATTTGAGGGTGGCTATTCTGGCTTTGGTATGTAATTATGCAAAACACTTTGCATAAAGACTTGCCATCCGATCTAATGATAGAGTCTGCAGTCTCGTTTCCAGAGAGGGAGGCACCAGCAAAGCCTGCAACACCGAGTGATGGAGGAAAAAACTACCATAATAAAACCAGACAAACTGCACATGAACACTTCCTATTGTCCAGGTAATTCTGTTGTGGTGTGTACAAGGCCTAAATCCACAATTTCCACCACAGTGTGCATGTATATTCTAACATGATGGGGAGGTGTCCTTAAATGTAACTGCTACTTACATTATGTATTTGTTTAGCTGATATTCTGTTTTCATGTTATCACATATGTAAATTTTGATATTTCTTTCCGTTCAGACAACCCGAACTGTTTTTTTCCCTGCAAGGTGTTTCTGAGGATAAAAATCGTTTTGGTTTTGACTCTGGGCAGAAAAAAACAAACAAGAAGAAGAAATGCAAATACGAGGAGGAAGTCAAATCCATTTTGCCTCATGTGTCTGCCGTGAGGAGCAGATAAGCCAGAGGACAGGTTAATCGGTGGTATGGAAGAAGCACATTTAATGGAGCACACTATTGTGTCCATGGCTCATAAGCATCCTGTATCTATGTTTACTCTTTGTCTACTTAAGCAAAAAAGTCAGATTTCTATGCAATTAATAAAAGCAGTACGTGTTGTTTGTTAAAAGTCTGCAAACTGCATGCCTTTCAGGTGTGCACTGTGCGGCACATTCTGTGTGTATATGAACATAATAAACACTTGTGCTGCCTGACAGAGGTGTGAATCTGAGAGCTTTTCTACCAAATGAAGTGCCAGCAGAGAGAGAAATGAAGAGATCTGCAGCTGTCAGGGGTCAGTCAGGCAGAGATTGCTTCTAGAGATCTTTTGAAAAAATCACACGTTTGAAGGCTTAGTGCTTTGCTGTCTTCGCATTTCAAGCTCAGATCAGTGGGATCGGAAAAAAAAGAGGGGAGAACATGGGTTGGAGGATTGTGACGTTGGGATGGACTTGGGACAAGGCAGGAGACGAGTCATTTCACCTGATCCTTCAGAGGAAAGAGGAGAGCCCAAGTTTTTGTTCTTACATTAAAACATGTATCACATAAGCAACAGTCTCCAATTCATCTCTCCCTCCCTCCCTCTGTGTGTGTGTGTGTATGTGTGTTGTGTTGTACAAAACCTACTACATTCTAATTTCCTGTGTGTGCGTCGACAGAAAGAAGGAGTGAAGGAAAACAATTCTGAAGTGTTTCATGACTCTCCAAAGGATTCAGTTTGTTGTTGTTGTTAAACAACCTTTACAGTTACAATTTTAAGCCTTTCTTCAACACCGAACACTCGGGTGCTGTTTAGGCACAAGGAGACATAAATAGGGATTTAAATGAGGACTGTTATACCCTTAATTATTAATAATCTTCCAAATGCAACTCCCCCCTTTAGCTGTCACTCGGCTGTGGTTTTGTGCCAAAACGAAAACGGAATGTCTTGCTGTATTTTGTGGTGATCACTCACGGTTCTTATTTCTATCGTCTGTTATACTTGCATGATTCCATAGATTAAGACGTTGCTTTTTTACACTCCAGTTTACAGTGTTGAAGTCAAGCAGGGAAGGAAAGTACATGAGTGGTAAGTTATTACAAGGAGCATTTTATATAGTTGACTTGTGCTGTCTGAAGGGAATGGAAGAGGTACGCTGTCTGATGATGACTAAACTGTAACCAAAGAAAGGAAAGACAATTAAAAATCCACATTTTCATTCAAGGAAGGAATTACATAAAGGAACACATGGAAAGGTTATGGTTTTTAACTAACTATATTCACAAAACCCACTGGTACCTTTCTCTCTTTCCCTTTCACACAGACACACACAGAACAACTCAAGCTGTTTCAGCCAATCACAGCTTAGGTCAAAAAACAAGCTTTGCAAGTTTCTTTTCATTTGGGATTTTTTCTAAAAGCTGTTGGGAAACATACATTTCATGTGGTTAAATAAGATTAGATGGTTTTTCCCACATAATCTTCACCATTATCATCCTGGAAAGTTCAACTGGTTCTTTTAAAAAACTTTTAAATCTAGAAAATAAATAAATGAGTATGATTCTCATCAGTCCTTAAAGGTTGTATGACTTCTTCTAGATTTGAATGAATAACAACCTGTTCATAAACACAACACCCTCTTTAATGTCAGGAGAGACAACAGTTTGCACTTTGATCCATGACTCGTCTGACAGTGGCCCCTCAGTGGGGTCTAACATTATTTGACAGCCAAGGTTTCAGTGTATTTAGGCTGTTGAAGAATTTTTAAACGGAGTAATAAATTAAATCTGTTGAAGTTGAAATAAGACTGAAGCAAACTAAAGAGAAATGGTTACGCTCAAACAGATAAGGCTCAAAGGTTAAATAAGCATATTATGACCGATTTTTTGAATGATCATTTTGACTTTGTGTCTTTCAGATAATAATAAAAAAAATATTTTCTTCAAGGAGCTTTTACCTTGAAATCCTCCTGTTATCAATCACAAGTGAGTTCTGGAGAAACATATCGTGTTAATGTGAACTGTAACTTCTGAGGAAATATCGTAACAGCTTCTCTTTTTTCATACATGTCATGTGATTTCTTTCGCCTGCTTCTTAGCGTGGAGACAAAATATGCAAATCCCATCAGATTCATAACACTCAGTGCCTTTCAGTTGTTCATGTGCTTCTGCTGTGGTGTATTATTATTTTCAAGGGTTCTCAGCAGGACATAAAAGGATCATAAGTTATTCTTCCACCTGACAAAAATATTTCATCCTCCCTCTGTTTCAAAGATGGACTCAAGTAAAAGTGATAATGACGTGATTTATTACCCTCTGAATGGATGACGGCGAGCTGATTTCTTACGTCTAGGATTCATGCAATGCTGCACATGAAACTAAATATAAATTGACAGAGAATTTTTTTGATGAAGTAAAAAAATCTTTCATGTGACAGCATAACGCGCTCATTAAATAATCCGCAGAACAGGTGATACAAACATTTTCATTCAAACGACCACAAAGAAAGAAAAACACAGGACTTAAAGTGGAAAACGAGAGCTGACTTCTGTCGGAGAGAAAAGACCCTCGGTGAACTCTGAGGCTTTTGTTTTTCCTGTTTGTAGGATTATTTAAAGTTTTCCGACTTCCTGAAACTTCTAGTCAATTGCATTTCTAGTTCATAATGTAGATTTGGTGTGGGTGTTCAGCCTCTTCCTTTCATGGATTAGTGATGTGCTCTTTTCCTTGTAAAGTATTTTATATTTCTCATACGCTGGCCTGCGTTGGTTCGCTCCAACAGAAAGACGTCTGATGGTCCCGGTGTTAAAGAGCTCTGATCTGGGCCGTGACAGCTTAGTCGAATCGGCCTGTTCAACATGTCGGTTTGACTGTCACTTTCAATTTTCACATGACCCCTTGGTCCTAGAATAGGGGATAAGTGGCAGAAAGTACGACTGAAAGCTCAAATTATTGGTCTGACAGCTTCACTCATCTGAAAGTAATGCAAAATGCAGTTCATATTTATACTCTGGCCCTTTGCTTAAACAGGGAATATACTGTATCTGCATGTTATGTCTTGAGACAAAGGCCATATCGGGGGGGGGGGGGGGGTTCTGCATTATTATTCGTCAAAATGCACATTAGTTTCCTTCTAATTATTCAGCAGATGTTACTCAAAGATAAAGTGCGCAACTCCCTTTTACAGTTGCTTTGCAATAAATATGTTAACTAAATGCCGTTTAGATAGAACAACATATGGATTGTTTTTGGTGCAGAATGTAAAACTGTTTTTGCTTCAAAGAAAACACCGTTTGTGTTGCAGTTCGTGCACAGCTGGTCATATCGTCAATGTCCTCCCCGGGATGTTTTATCTGAGCCGTATTTATGCACATGTAGGTCATAAAAGAAGAGCGCTATCAGCGGCTGGTGGATGTGGTCATTATCAGACATGGTGCTAGACAGAGGGAGGGGTTCATTGTTCACTCTGCGCTGCCGGCCCACTGACTGAATAAGGTGTGTTCATTGTTCATTCTCTCGCTGTAAAAGCCACAGTCTCCAGTTTATCCGCCAGGGTTGTTACACTAGCTCTAAAACATGATGGGTCGACTATCACATTTTGTCATTTGCTTAAAAAAAACCCTGAAATATTTGCAATTACCTTCCACAACGAAAACATTCACATAGCGGTTTAACCAAAGAACTGTAAATTAATGACGGTGTTTGGTTTTAAGAAAAAAGAACTACTCTGATGACGTTAAATATGTTAAACAACTCCCAAAAGGATCATCAACTTGGACATGATGGACGCCGTTTATTTTATTCCTTTATTCGGCAACGCTGTTGCTACAATATGAGCCAATTGTCATAATTTAGTGACATCTGTGGTGTGCGTCTGTCATAACTCCAGCAGCAAACATGCAGAGTTGGTTGACGGAGCAGGAAAGATTGTTGCTGTGGTTTCATTTCCCTGTATAATCCACACTTCTTGTCCCCTGCCTGCCCTCCTAATCCCTTGGCATGTGTTGGTGACATCACATGGCTGCTGGCTCAAAGTTCTCGTCCCCCTGCAACTGTCATTAACTCTGTGAACAAATGAATAATGACTGGGAGACTCGCCGGCTCCCACCACTGACCCTGGGTATTATTAGAGTGACCTCTCTTTGGCTTGACCAAAAAACCTTTCTGATATCATTGCTGTGAGTACACTAGGAATGATGGCCTGTCTGCCTGCCGGGGGGGAGTGTGTGGGGGGGGGCATTACACATGGGAAGTGGGGGGTGATGCCGTCCCGACCGCCGGTGTAAACCTACGCTTTGCTCCCACTGCTGTTTCATGAATACTTAATTAGAGAACAGAGCCTGGAAAACACGACGCACAAGTTGCCTGACCCCTCTCTTTACCAACAATGCACAATATTTGGATTTAGCAGGGGCGACATGGTCAGATGACATGTCTCACTGTAAGGGAGAGCCATTTGGGAATCTTGTCGCAGTCAGCTGTGTGATATTATCTGTGTAGAGAGAGAGAGAGAGGAGAGAGGATCAGTCAGGTGTGGCTGTGGAAGGAAGCATCTCCATATGTCACAGGGATGCTTCTCACAAGAACATGCTGGAAATCACATGCTGATAGTGATCATAGCCTGCAGACACATGAGTGTGATTTATTGTCAGCTGCAGTGGGGGGAAGCAACTAAGTACATTTACTCAGCTACTTAAGCACAATTTTGACGTACTGGTATTTCATTTCATTTACTCTAAACATAAGTGTTAAAATGACTTGCAAATGTAAATTTTAAACAACATGAGGTTGTGCTTTACCACCTAAACATGCTAAATCAACGTATCAGTAATTGTGATCCAATGTTATAATTTGATGAATAAACTAATATACAAGTCCATTTATCACAATAAGTCATTTGGTTTTTGGTTCAAGGTTATGTAAAATTTGCAGATAAGACTTCTGTGTCGTGTGCGTGTCTGTATGAATCCATTCATACAAACACCGGTGGGAACTGTAGGAAGAATAATTTGATTCCGCATAGTTTACGAAACCTAGTTTTATAGCTGAAACTAAGTCAATTTAAGAACTTAGAAAACGGCAATACTTTCTACTTCTACTTTTCAGAGGGATTTACTTGAATTCTACGATTATGCAGTTGTAATAGACTTCACAGACTTTTCTCTTTTATTAAAATTATCTCATTAGATTGAATGCAGCATTACAAATAAAAACAATATTTAATAATGTGTGAGTAAAATAATTAAATTCTATAATTATTACAAGGGGCCTTTTCTGAAATGTGAACAGCATTTCTACTTCAACTAAACTATGATCTGAATACTTTTTACACCGCTGGTAACTTTGCATGGGAAAATAATTTCGCAACTGGTGAAGAGGAGCCTCGTGCTCTTTTGAAAAGTAAATCTGTAATTACAAAGATCAACGGCCAATAGGAAACGAGCGTAGTCATTTCAAAGCATAATGTAAACATCTGGCCATAGTTTGAATCCATCTTTTTGGGGATCTTCAAATTATGCAATGAGGTCAACAGATTATCGAGCAGAATAAAAACTCAGATCAGATCGTTTATCTTTCGGTCAGTAATGGCGAGCTCGTGAAAGCTTTAGCTATTGGTGGTGCACGGAATACATAGCCGAGATGAAAGAAAGGTAGAGACAGGCTGATGTAATCAGTGCTGCCACATTGAGGGCTCTCCATCATTACAATCGGTGGATTGCAATAAAAGTTTCGAGAATTGCACTGAACGAGCCAATCTAAAGCAATAGACAATCACAGCCCCTGATCTCAGTCCCAATTGAGACACATCCCTGAACGTCTCAGAAAATTAGAGCCACTTGGTGTGTTCATTCTAAATCCCGAGATGGACAGATAGAGGCAGGTGCGCTCCCTCTACCTCTCTCTCTCTCTCTCTCGTGCATCAATCAATAGGATTCACCAAAGGTGCGCTATTGGCAGCAATCTATTCTGTTATTTTACACGGATTTGCAGGGGCCTGAGGGATCAAATTAAATCGCAATTAAAGGGTGACAATTAGTCATTTGGTTATGATGAAGTCACTAAAAGCGTGCGACAGAACCGGACGACCCCTGGCAGCGAGAAATAGCAAAGAGGGGAGAAAAACCCCCGCCTGCGCGCTCGGGATGTCGGACACGGAGCGGCAGCGCGCGCGATGCGCACCGAGAGGGGAAGTTCCGCGTCAGCACAGACAGTTTATTTTGCCTTCTTCTTCTTTTTTTAAATACACCAATTAATATATTGAGACGCGGGTGAGAGCAAATTCCGTCGATTTTTCCCAATGGACGATGAACTATTTAAAATGTAAATAAAACAAGTTGAGCTACATGTAAGAAAAAACAAATGTATTTAGATGCCTCTTCGTCCTTTGGCTCTCAGTCGGTAAAAATACCGACCTGTCACAATTTGTGTCAACAGTAGTCTGGGTGAATGAGCTTCATGCCGTTTATTTATTTATTTATGTATTTAGCATTTATTATTTTATAACAGCACAGATATCACATTTATATTTCTGAAACCTGAATCGAACACGTCTCTGCCCGACCTAAAAAACCCATTATATTTTCATATTTAAATGTGTAAATATAATTTGATAATAATAATAATACTATGAAATAAATTAGAAATGTTTTGAAATAATTTAGATTATTATAGAGTAGCAGTGCCGGGAGCCGGTTAAACGGTGCGTGGATGTGGAAAGCTGAAATGTGCACAGGCAGTGAAACGCGGCGCGCTGTAAAACACAAAGCGGCGGGTTTAATGTCCGCGCGGCACCTGTCGTGACTTCGAAGCGGAGAGGAAGAAGACGACGACATGTGTGACTATAAAAGGACGAGGAAGATGTAAAGGAGTGGGCGATACATGTGTACGGATTTCACCTCTCACGGAAAGTTCAAATGTGCTGGGCAAAGACCACATGTGACCACATGTGACTAAGATGATGGAAATCATCAGCAGAGCGATAATTGCAGTATAGTCTGTGGCTGAATGCCATTGCAAAAAAAACAGTAATTGCAGCGCATTCCTTCTTTTGACCAAGAAAGCGTCGCGCTTGGAGTACGGGGGCAGTTGTGAAAGGCAGTGATATTGTCCGAAAGGTGACACTCTATTAACATTTCTTGGCAGCATCTGGATGCTGTCAACACGAAAGAGGACAAAAGTCATTTTCTCAAAACGTCATACCAAATCCCCTCTTTCTAAATGCCCTCATCCCACACCCACCAATAAATGGGCGGAGGCCAGCCCGGAAGACCAATACCTTCCTTCATCGTGCTCCACACCACCACCTCCACCATCCTCCCCTTTGTTTGGCAGGTGTCTCCAATTACCTGCTAATTTGCCTCTAATCTTGATACAATTCTTAATAAACATGTTTATCCACCTCCTTAAACCAAAAGTCGCCTGCAAATATGAGTGAAAAGCAGCGTTCTTCTCTGCTGAACGTTTACTGATGCCAGTGTAAAAATACTGTCACCCAGGAGGAAAGCGAGGAGTGCCTCTCGGTGATGGAGGCAGGTTGTCAGGTGGTATTTCATTATGAATTTTCTTGGTGAAAGATGAGTGCCAAAGACCAGTCAATTCAACACAGACACCAAGGGGGAAGAGTGTTGCTAAGAGACGGGGATGCTGCACAACTTCCATCAGGAGCTTGACTCTGCAAATTAGCTTCTGGCAATTCTTTTGTGTGAAAGCAACCGCGATGTGACTAATACCTGGCCTAAAAAAAAAAAACTTTAATATCTAGATTTGGCTCAGAATAAAAAATTTAAAAAAGCACTTTGGAAATTGTAACAGTGCAACAAATCAAGACCCCAGAACACTTGTTAGGGTTTTAATTGAAATAAAGGGACGACTGAATGTCTAAATTAAGTGTACAAATGAAATTCTGCTTTAAACCTTTAAGTGATTTTGTCTCACTGTGAAAGTGTTTCTAGAAATAATGCTTCATAAACTGTAGTGATATTTAGGACCTGACACATTTAAACAAAATGCCACAGGCTATGAAAATTACACCTGCACCTCCAATTTAATCAAGAGAATGTGCTCCATCTCGGACAGTTTTTTTTAATACATTGTCATTGGCCACTATGGTAGAATCTATTTGTTAAAGCAGAAGCTTGACATTTTGCAGCGATGCATGGATTATTCACATGTGAGACATCAACACGGTGCCATTTTCTTGACCTGTATGTCATTTAACACGAGCATGATAATGATGGTTGGGGGGGTCAGAGGAGGTACGATGGCTGCAGAGGGCAGATAGGTTGCGACCTGTGAAAGGGTCTGTATCAGGTTGTGGCAGATATGTGAAGTGGACGCTGATAATGGCCTTTTAGACATGCCAGGTTTGATCCTTTCACCGCGGAGGAGGGAGAGTTAATCAATAGCGTGAGTAGATCAGTGATATGAGGTTACTGTACGAGCAACTGGCAGGCAGCCGGGCAACAACATTGGCACGCTAGTTAATTGGTCGGACATTTGGCAACATCAACGCGAGAAAGAGAAAATATACAGTTATCAATAGGAAAATGTCAAGAGCACTTATGTCGCAGGGCGTTAAAAAATCAAATCAATTGTACATTGATTCTACATTATTGGCTCTTCATGTAAAAAAACATCTGGAAATTTAGATCACATCACACCCTTCACAGATTAACTTGTGGGTGCGATAAAGACGTCTTCAAGCCATGGGCATAAAATAGCCATTTTAATCAAAGCTAAGTGAAATATAGATCCCTTTATTCCTGCAGTTCCACACATGAAGAGAGAGAGAGAGAAAGAGAGAGAAGAGAGCGAGGGCGAGAAGAGAGAGCAATACGCTCCCATGTTCAAAGCCAACCTTGTCAATAGTACTCACAGTGGGCTCGGGGAGCGTAATAGCACTTCCCTGATTCTACATTGATATCATATAATCCAGTGTGCCTGGTTTCAGTATCATATTTATCTAACCTGCTGGGGGACAGGGTAAGGGGGACAGTGTCCCTGCTGCTAGGAGCAGACACATTACACACTGCCTTGTGTATTCTTATTGATTACTTCCACCCCACAGCCCAGGGACCATAATTTAACTCAGCAGGCACTACAGTTAATACTGGAATTCAAACATTCCATCCACACTTCAAGAGACAAAAACAATTGACACTTTAAAAATGAGCAGGGCCTCTCTAAATGGGATCTGAAGGGAGAGGATCTCCATTTTCTGGTCGGCGCTTTTTCCCCTCTACTTCAGTCTCCTTCTGCTTGTGTGGATACCGTGTTGTTCCAGAGCAGAACTGTGGAGGAAGAATTACAATATGTTCAGCAATTTGACGATTTTAAGGACAAGAACAAATTTGTTTACCAGAATATTTGTTACCTCATGTATGAGGAACTAATAAAAACGTTCAGAGAAAATGTGCCATTAAGTTTTTCACATCATTGACTCAAATTTCTACTGAAATGTTGTATCATCTAATGAAAATACCGTAAACATCCCACCCCTGTGCAAATGTTGTTTTTAGCTGGTTCGACAATGTCACCAGAGGGGCTTCAGATCAACTCATTATTTTAAATTCAACAACCAAACAGCCTGATCCGGATGTGCGGGTCAGTCAGCGTTGCATCCTCTGACATTCATGAAGCCATGTTAAGTGTGCTAACAGCAGGAGACATTTAAAAAAAGAAATGATCATGTTCATCATCTTTCATCATTTTTTCTGTATATTTGTTGATTTGAGAGTGAACATTTTAAGTGTAATTTATTACATTTGGAATATGCGTGAGACTTTAAGTGGGATTACATATAAATACATTTAAAATGTCAATCACGTCTACAGGTATAATCCTAACAATTCAGCTAATGAAGCTAAGTATTAAGTGTATATGTTGATTCAGAGAGCTATTAAGTTATATTCCTTTAATGGATAAATGTGAAGACCACATTCCCATGCTTTTTCTTAAAGCTGAAATGAGCATCAGTGGGGATTAATATGCATTAATTTAATTGTCTTTGTTTCCTTTAATGAGAAGGAAAGGATTTGATGTTAATGCCGTTGATCTCACAGAAGCTGCAATCCCCCTAATTAACCGGTATTTCTGCAAAACACTAAAAATAATCAATAAAAAAAAAATATTTTATCAGTTTTATGAGCTATGAGACTCAGATATTCAGATAATTAAAACACATCACATGCTAGCCTACCTTAAATTGACAGAAAAAAAAGAGCTCTTTAGTTTTTAGAAACACAATTCTTTTTCTCTGTGGAGTAATGAAAACACGCCTGTTTTATCTCAGCCTTTCGTCATAGTGTGTCAGCGCTCACTGTTGTAACTGTGTGCTGTGCAGAGATAGAGGGTCTGTGGAGGGTCAGGGAGCAGACTCCAGAGATCCATCCATCTCAATCGGGGGCTACAGCTGACACCTTACAAAGAGGTACAATTAATAAGGGCCTTATCCAGCAGTAGGCAACAATAGAGTCCTAACGCAGAGACACCAACCTCGGGAGGCCTGCAGAGGAGTGGATATGTTTATGGGTGGGGGGAAGGGTCAAACAAAGTACTTCAAAGCCGGACACATTACAACCAATGTCTTCAGAACATCACAATCTGTTATATTTGAGCTTTTTGACGGAGGGTGCGAGCTGTTTCGTATGCTAAACGGTTCACTTCCAGTAACTCATCCTGCACTCTTTAGGCAGGAAAACAAAAATCTTGAATTCCCAAAATGAGATTAATTTAAATAATATTTTCATATGAAGTGCTGCAAATTACAAATTTAAAAGGTTGAAGAGCCGAATAAAATAAAGCTTTGTAAAAACATTCCCTCGTTGCTCTTTGCTTGATGACAGTCGCTCAGTTGACAGAGGCGACAAAGGGAGGAAAGCTGATATATCAATTCAGCATAAAGGAAAGTGTCCTGTCGGTGCCGGTTGAGTGCAGCGGGGTTCACAGGACAGAATGGTGCAGACATTGCTGCACTGACATTTACAGCAATTCAAGAGTTGTTTGTGGTCACTGGACTGGAGACAAACACTGGACCCAAAGGTCGGAGGTTGGGGCTAAATTTCATCCACTGCGGAGGTCCCTCTGTTGGAAAAGACAAACAGAGAAAAGCAGCCGAGGTGTGAAGTGCTCCTCCTGTCGGGGAAATCAATCAATCACGATCCAGACCAAAGGGAATACAGAACAGAACCACTGTTGTTTTGTTTTAAACAAAATTGTTTAAAAAAATGACAACTGCAGATACGAAATGAACTGATACGAAAAAACGTAAAAAATTACGAAAAAATATTCTGGTAACACGTTCTTTAATAATGCACCCTAATCACTTCTAAGTCTGTTTTTATACACGCTGTCAAGAGAAATCGTTTTATATTATACCGCTCTTTCCGTGGGGGAAAGGAGTGCTTGGTTATGGATTAACGCAGTGATCAATAACAAGATAGGATTCCAGCTCTTTAAGCGGAGGAAAATTAATTCGAAATGCAGTCAAACTCTTATCGACCCAGAACCAGGGGGTTGCTTTCATCGCAGGTAGTAATCCGCCAATATTATGATGAGTGGCTAATCTCTCATTTTAAATATGACTTTCACCGCTCATAATAGAATTTAAGACTGGCCATGCGTTTGTTGTCCGCGGCGTCGGGTCTCTGATGGTTCTTTGTCAGCGCCTGGAAACTCCACTCGACCGCTTTGAGTGATTGTCTTCACCTCAGAGTTTGAGTCAGGTAAAGACTTCTGGTAAAATCAGGATACGGCATTCCTTAAATAAAAATAAAAAAACTTTTCAAATGAAAACAGTGTAAAAGGAAGTGTTCTTATTTAGTGCAGTTCCTGAAAAAGCACTAGCCACTTACATTACATGACGCACAGTAAAGTTAAGCATTCAAGAACATCATTTGGAAATAATTTAATATAATAATAATTTCCATCACTAAAGGTAAGATTACTTCTTCCTCACCTCAAAATCAAATTAGCACAGATTTAATTTAATTAGGTATGCGTATGTATTTGCATCCTTTCCTCAGACCTTGGACAAGTGATAAATGTTTGTAACATCTCATTTTGGTTCAAACATCCTTTGCTCTTATTATCACTTAATAATAACGAAAACAAAAGCTAAAACTGAAATCTCTGTCTTACCTACACATTGTTTTACATCATTTAGAAGATCATCCTCCACATCTGATCGTGGTCATGTTAATAGTATCAAGATGTCTTCATGTATAAAGACATTATTCACTATGTATTGAGGCCAGTTGACTCAACAATCAATCGTCCTTTTCCAATCAACCAATCAAAGAATGTTTGTAAATGACCGAAGGCAGCGCTTCCTCTTGGTCATCTCCAGACAAACATTATGCATAAACCTTAAAACGGCGTTGTGCAAGTTTCAATCAGAGGCAACACAAAGCAGGTTAATTGCTGATCAACACAGGCTGACTTTAATGAGACCCTGTTGCCCGTGGCCATGCCCAGTTCAGCTCTCATTCTACTTTCTGGTGAAGGCTCCACTTTATTTGATCTTGTTTGCTTCCTCCACTGCTGGGACTGTCATTGTTGGTTTTTAATTACTTCACCACTAAATGGTACGGATGAAAGAAGTTTCTGTAATTAATACAATTTCCATAAATTTGAATCTCTAACCAGTCTCATTAGCTCGTGCATTTTGTCTTGACTGAAGTCCCCATGTCATATTTTTTTCAGCTCTAACTATACAGAATAATATTACTTAGGGCAGAAAATCACTTCATATGCACCATATTTTCTGATAATCAACTTTCCCTGTAATCAAATGCAGCACATACTGTAGTGCAACTCCAATGACGGAGGTCAACCCCGAAGAACATTTCAATTGTTGTATTAAATCATCATAAAAGTCATAATTCCAATCAATTAGTCGTTTCACAGGCATGTGGACTTTATTCAAGCTCAAATATGTAATCAAACTGTTGAATAATCCATCTTTGATCATGTGTAATCAGGACCGGGGCTGTGTGATACGTCCCTGGGCCACTGACTAAATGAGTTGCAATGCTGCTGGCACTTACTGGGCTGGATGGTGGTCACCTTGGCAGTGGGAGAGCTGTGGTGCATTCACATGACAAGAAATAGACGGTTAGGCAGAGCGGTGCGTTGAGGAGGACACACCTGTTGTTTTGATTACTTAAAATAAATAAATATATATATATATATATATATATAAATATATATATATATATATATATATATATATATATATATATATATATATATATATATATATATATATATATATATATATATGCTTTGGAAAGCATTGACACTGACTTCTGATCAGGTATTTGATTTTAAGATAATACTGACAGATGAAGTCGTTTTTATTCCTCATTAAGACAAATATCATTTTTTCTTTTTTTTCAAATTTAACATTACATTTCCAGCACAACTCTTGAAAATGAAATTGAGAACGCTACACAACTCAATTTCTAATTCAGAAGTTCAATAATATTAATAATTCATCAGGTTACAGCGAGAAGAAATCACTACTTTAAATACGAAGAAGACATTTTTTGTTTACCTACAGAGTAAGAATGAAGCTACTCTCAATTAAAGCAGACCAGGTCAGTCTTTGTGACAGAGCTCTATAATCTTGTCAGGAGCAGCCTATCATTACCCGGCTGTGTGGTAATAGCCTGACATGGATGCTATGGGGAGCAATTGATTCCACACATCAATCAGTAGGGAAACTCATCTTAACGATTGCAACGAAGGGGCTTGTTTGTCCTCAACATCAAGATGTACGCTAACGTGGAAGCAGAGCAATACCTGAAGCTGGATGAAGGGGTAGTTACCCAAGAAATTCATTAGTCTACTCCTACTTTGTCTTCCCTCTGATAATTTCAGGCATGTTTAAGACCTGCAAATGTATACCGACGCTCTCCAGCTCAGATGAAATGGTGAAAAGTAATTGCCACTCTACAAACGGGTTTACCCGATTGAACTCTGTTCTACATTCAGACCATCAGTCCTGCATATCAAATCCAGCATTTCTATTGCGACGTTGGATTTAGCTCTCCTTGTTGGCGGATGATGTCATGGAGATTTTTTGTTACTGCGAAAAATTAAAACATGAAAAAGATGAATGCGTTTCTTGATTTTAAATTAGTTTCACTGGCATTTTAAATGTACAATAATAATTCTGTAACCAGAGTGACTCTCTTACATCACAGCTTCTCTGCCATGTCTCCATCCGTGGACATCTGTGCCCCTTAATATAAAAGACGCAGCTGGATGCTGAGAATATACTATCCTCCACTCTAAAAGGGAAGGGTCCCACCTGATTAAGGAGGGCAAGGGAAAGACTTTGGCAGGCCAATGGGAGAGGTCAAGGATAGACCAGCCAGTTTCACTCCCCCACCACATCACTTTTGTGTGACAGCACCACCCTAAGGTTGGAGTTCACTGAGACTTTTCATGAACAGAGCGCTTAACGTCAAACACAAGATTAAAGCGGGGGTGTCGCATCTTGGCAGCACCAAATGAAAATATCAACTGCTAAGCCTGCCTCTGAAAAGCCAGGGGACAGGTATCTAATATTAGAGAGTAAGCCTAGTTAGCAAAAGCGGCCCGCTGCTTTCCACGTTCTCAGTGGTGGTCAAAAGGCCAGGATGGCTCTGGAATTGCTTTATTGGGGAAATATATTACAGTAGAGGCTGCAGAACTGCCTTATTAAGAAGGCAGAGATGAGAAGAAATGCCCTTATGACATCTAGCAAGAACCGAGGACATTTCTATTTCACTGAATAAAATACAATATATTTATATTTAATATTCATACAAATAAAAAATGTCTTCTTTTGATACTCAGTCACTCCAATGAAAGGTTTGTTTGAACAAAAATGTACACTGATGAGAAAGAAAGATCATTTGATTGTAATAAAATCAGTGTGAAGCATCAAAATAAGTTAAAGTAAAAACCAAACCATATTTTGGGTCTTTAAGATGAACAAATATTGCTGCATTCAAAGAAACCTCATTTTTGAACATTCAACCAGCAATGCAAGATCTCACAATATATCAAGTAAATGAGGGACACACATTTTAGAGAGAAGCCATTTTGTACGACGCAAATTACTTGTTTTCTTCCCTCACAGTGTAGCAACAGAAGCTGGTGCTTCAGCTCTTTAAGTGGCTTGGAAGCATAAAAGAGGCTTTCCTCCCCCCCCCCCCCCCCCCCCACCCCCTCTTTTCTGCAGCCACACAATCAGATGACCAGAGAAAAGCTAAATCTATCTATCTATCTATCTATCTATCTATCTATCTATCTATCTATCTATCTATCTATCTATCTATCTATCTATCTATCTATCTATCTATCTATCTATATCTATATCTTTTTCATAGTTAAATTTTTTTCCTGCTTTTTAATGTATTTAAATGAATAAAATCATATCGTAAACAATCACAACTCGAGGAATGTATAACTAAAACGACTCAAGAGTTTCTTTAAGGAAATTTAGAAGAAAGTCACTCACACTGCTGCTTTTTTAGTTTGACATTGTAGGTAAATAAATGGCATAATGGTGTTTCTCCATAGGATCCTTTGCAACGGCTAGTTTTTTTTCTGTAGCATAGCACAATTTATAATCAGAAACTCTAGTAAGACATGAAGCTGATCTCGAATGCTTTTCTATAATCCCTCCCCTGGAAGTGGTCTTTACTGGAAGGCCAGTTAGTGATGGGCTCACCCAGTAGCACAATGTTGCGTTGGGATACAGCATTCAGCTTAAGCCAACTTATCAACTACATTCAAAGCACATCCATTGAGCTATGTGGGGAGACTTTTTGCAGATCTATTAAAAATACTCTTATCTGTATTTAGCATATGCTGTGTATGTCAGTGCTGGCAGCTTTAGTCGGATTTACACTCAAAACACCTCAAGATATTCTTCAGCTGAAACTACTGATAACATTCTGAAACTTCTGCAGACAAGCAGGTTTTACAAATAGATAAATTCATTCAACACACTGTAATATCATTTGCTTTACTTGTTGTCGTTTTTGGTGCATGGTTTTATATGCAATTTTGGCCCTATTTCTTCAGTTATTGTTTCTTTTTATTTCCGTTTAGAAATAATTACCATGAATAAAAGCTGATTTCAATATTTAGCGGACATATTTTGTTTCTTGCTTGATGGCAGAGAATAAAAAAGACATGCACTCATCACACACACATCAAACAACGTGTTATGTTGTTGCCACAGAGGATCATTGTGTAGGGTCATTTGTGCTGGTGCAAGTTGTTGAAGAGAAATGATTATCTATGACATATTTTTCAATTTATTTTCATTTTTGTTTGAAAGAAAACAAACAAACAAGAGTGTTAGAATAAGAGATTTGTTGTTGCTAGTTAACAAGAACTTTTGGAATCCAGCAGCAAATAACGTGAATAAATGCACGCGTGAGGGTTTCAGAGTATTTCAGTGGTCCTTTAGAGGAAACGCTGGAGCTGCAGAAAGGCTCACAATCTGCCTTTCTTTCAGTTTTCTTTCTTTACCACAGACAAGCCGTGTTTGTTCTGCGTAGTAATTACTAATAGACAAGCTCATATTTACTCAAACTAAAAATGTAATTACTTCGAATTTCTAAAACACGCACATATATTTTGAGGGATTTCTGGGTGTTTATTGAGTAATTTAAAGGAAGATTTCATTTTCACCACAACAAATGTGTCAACAACTGAAAACGTTTGTACGGCTTAGCGGCCTGCTACTTTTGTTGTAGTTTTGAAATATTTTTTTTACTTGAAATATTGATCTATTTACATTTTCTTCCATTGAGGAGAGAAGCTTTATTTAAGTCTGCTCTCTGGGCTGTGGAGGTCTGGCCTTTGAAGCGATTGAGAAAGAGCACCGTTATTCATGCTGCAGTCAATGCTTAGAACTGAGACTCCAAAAACAGCAGTATGCTCTCATACCTGTTGAGAACACTTTCATCCTTAATGGGCTCATTAGCCACATTGTTAATTGAGTGCTATTCAGGCCAACTTCAAAGCTAATAATAATTGGTTACTTACTTCCTTACTTCACCTAAATAGCCCAGAACTGTGGCATAATGCTGCTCTCTTAGAAGGTTCGTGTTTAAAAGGGAACTATGATTCTGAATGGACTGAAATGCTAACAATAAAAAAAAACACTCACATCACTAAAACTCTCACAAACAAACACTCAACGTTCTATTTTATTCTGGGAATGCACTGCTGCAACTTCCCTTTCCCTAAAACGTCAGTGTACAATAATCAAATAAATGTCCAGAAATGCAACATTTTACACTTATGACCTCTTTACTTTTCAAATAAAGCTTCTAGGTTTAAAATATATTATTTGTTACTAAATCATATTAGATATATCCTGACAAATTAATTCAATGTTATAAAGCATTTTAAAAATGCCTGTACAATATAATAACATATTCTAATACTACAACAAAATAATAAATAAATAATAAATAACAAAAGTAATAATAATAATGACATTTAAATCCATTCATATTTATATGTACAGACAAGTCATCTTATTTTCTGAGTTCTTGTCCTGTAAGTTTTCTCCTCCCACACGCTGCTGCCACATTAGTGGCTAATGGGATCCGACAATGGAAGCTAACTCAGTGGAATTAAATTCATCAGCATGTGCTCAGAGGTAATAAGCTGTCAGTTATAAAATGAAGATTTGTATTTAGATATATGATAGGAAGAAAAATGAATAGGCAAAATAAATGAAGCTGCTTGACAACTAAATTACTTATTTGGAGCCAACAGACCTCGAAGAGAATCATGATGATGACAATGATTATTGGAGATAATATTTCCCCTATGGAGGGGAAGATAGCAAAAATGAAATAATTATGTAACGTCAGCCCACAAAGAGTTAACAGAAGGGAATATTTGCAGAAATGTTTTGATAGAAGGGAACACACCTTGAGGCATTATCACACCTTTTAATGTAGGAAATCTAATTAGGACTGAGGGGGGATGTTACCCCAAGATGCACTGATCAAATCCAGACATTATAAGTGCTAACTGACACATGGAGCATTAAAGCTTGTATACAGAAATATTATAAATCATAAACATCTACAATAACTTTACCCATCCTGCAATCAGATCATCATATTGTGCTGATCATTTAAATTGTG